TATAGTAGCCAATGTAATATTGTCCAAAGTTTTTTGGGGGGGGCAGACAAAAATTGGGGGGGGGGGCTAAATCTAAAAAATCTAAATCTAAAAACCAAGCCCCTCCCCCTTCCCCGTAGAATGAGCCTCTTACGCTGCATTTGGCTTGCAGACTGGCTAAGCAAATGTTTTTGCTCAGCAAATCCCTGTTATTTAGCATAGCCCAGTCGCCCTCGTTTGCCCTCAGCGGGCTATATATCAAACTACGAGGACATGCAAGAGAAGACCAAGGGATTGTCATCAAGGATCTTCCGGAATCAACAACAGCGAAGGTGGATGGATGAGTAACAACCGCTGCCCAACATGCACGATTTTAATACGTACATTACCTCCTAAGTAGCAATCTTTTCCTTCGCTGAAGTTGGGAAAGTTGTCACACGACAGATATTGTGGCCACGATACTCCAAATGCATAATTCATATATTCTTCGCAGTCATTCCGCGCCGCTACACAAAGATCTCTGCAGGGCACCACAAGGCGACTGGTACCATAAGTGCATCTGAAAGAGATGAATATTATCGTACAACGCTATGTTCATATATGGCACTGGTTTTGATCAAAAAGACAAATTTAAGAACCAAGTGCAGTCTCCATTATAAAAGTTACAGTTCATACCTCGTCGAGAAACTTTACTCTTTTCAGGAACTTTGTCAACAAAAAGATCTGGTTTATGGAACAGGAGTGAATCGATTTTCACCAAACACATAGCATCCAGGAAGGATTTGTCCTTTCATTTCACAAAGGTTTTGTAGTGGCTTTGTACACCCGTCCTTAATTTAAAAGGGAGTTCAACCTCGTGTTTTCAATTTGCATTACATACTACGGGTTTTTTGGCGGAATGCGTCAAACCAAATGTAGACCTCTCTCCTATGAATCAACCAGTGGCGTATCCAGCGCGAAGGGGGAATCCCACTGACGGAGTTTATTACTATTATTGTTATTATTATTATTTTATTGTTATTATTTTTTCAACTAAGATTACTTCGTAGGTGAGTGTATGTAGCAAAGAAATTAATCAGTATTTTTAGTTATCAAATAAACAGGTACGTTGAATGAGCCAGAAAGTGCAATTGCTTTTGAATCCCCCCACACCAAAAGCTGGATAAGCCACTGGAATCGCCTCCTCACCTAAAAATAAATTTAACAAAACAAAACATAAACAAAACAAAACATAAACAAAACAAAACATAAACAAAACAAAACATACTCTGGTGTGTACATGGCACACAGGAACGTCCGTAGGAAAGGCGAACACTGCGCATCCACGAAAGTATAGAACTTGTGAACTTCTAACTTTGCGTCGTCCTGATTCGGATGATGGAGGAAGTTAGGCATGGAGGTCTGCGTGTAGCCGATGTCAGACTGGCACATCTCCACAGTGATGTCTTCGCAACGCCAGTAATTTTCGTCGGGAACAGTTCCGCCGTCGCCGGAGACGTCTGGGAGTGACAACCAAAACAAAAGAAAACAAAATTTATGGTCCTGTTCTTAGTAAGTCTGTTTCTACCAGAGTTCTGTCTTCATTGTGTGACAGCATTTTCGGGGGCAGACACACATGTGAGGCGCACATGTTGCCTCACAATTATGGGGCCGTTTTGTTTACAAACGCTTTTACCTAAACTTGGCAACGCCTGCCTCAAAAAGCACATTCTGTTTTGTTGAAATGGGAAGGGGTTCGTCTTTATTTAGCATTTAAAAACTATTTGTTATTCAGTGTTTCAATAAATATTATTTTTATCAATATATATTTATATATTTTTGTAAATCTTTGTGAATGATTATGTTGGTTTTGCGTTCACAGCCGGCCATAGTTTTGCCAAACATTTGTGGTAAAACTACGCTAGCAACGTAGCAAAAGTCAGGTGTGCACACGATGTTGCTTTCAATTTTAATTTAAAAAAACAGTTAGGGAGATTGCATTAAATCTCCTCCCATAGTTAGAAGTTATCATTCTTTGAATCACCGAGAAGAAACGTGTCTACGGAGGCAAAGCAATGTCATTTGTATTGTACTGTTAAAAAATTTAAGACATGGTCAGAATTACTCAGATTTATAGATGTTGCGCTCAAATGGAAATTTGTTTGACAAAAACAGATGTGAATATCAAAAATTTTGTACGATTCACAAATGTGGAAGCAATTTCTTCGGAAGAAACGGGGAGGGAAGTCATTAAGAACTTACTTGAATTATATGGCGGTATGTTGGCAATTGTTACTGTACCCTCTCCAAAGTCATTCAAAGCAGTAATTTCAATTCTATAACTCCCTGCGTTCCAAAGGTGAAAGATCTCAATGGTGCGTTCGGGTGGGCCTTTAGGATCGACAGAATGAAAGATTTCCCTCTCGATTGGAGAGAAGGTCTCGTTCAAGCGGATGCGAATTGCCTGCGTGGTGGATGTTGGAGAGAGGAAGTGGACGGAAGCCTTATTCATGCTGTCCCTGGTGACGGCTGTGATCCAATTCGGCGGTTCGTTCGGTGGGAAGAGATCTGTGTTGAAAAGATATCCCAAGCCAACAGCAGAACATGATATGAGAAAACCACGTAATGTCAGATCTGTTCTCAGTGCTAAATTTGATGAAACTGATAACTAATTTCAGAAGGCACGGAGGTTGATTGAATAACTGCGTAGTCTGGTTTGTAGTCTTAGGGGTTTAATGAATTTGTTCAACAGAAAGCAACTTCAGTTGAAATTGTATAGGCCTAATTCACTTCAGTCAATTTGTAACAACGTGCTGATCTTACTTCTGTAACATTAACCACTTGAACTGTTTCAGAATTCTGTTTGTTGATGGAAAATAAAAGAGATTTTGACCCTGTTCAGTTCAATATCTTCATTCTGTAGGCTTTTCCAATGATCTCATCTGTTAAAGGGCGTTAAATGGCGTTAACATGGCATCTTGATTGCAATGGGGAATCCTATACTGGACAGAACAAAAAAATAGTTGACTTCAGTAATCGGCATTTTTGAAGCATCTGATGAGCAGAGTAAAATGAAATCTCCAGTGTTGAAAAGATAACATTCTAAGGTTCGATTTTATACCCAAAACAACAACTTCTTACTGATGGAAGGAAAAAATGTTACTTTTGGTCACATTTTTGGGAGAGAGGCCTTCCTGTTCCAACACCCTAGGCTAATCGAATTAAAAGTAACATATTTTGTTTGCTTGCGTTAGACTATCTTACCAGAGAGGCATTCCTTTTTATTTTCAAGACGGGAGTGCTTTTTACAGTTTAACTCCGGTGTCCTATCCAGGCCAAGCTGACGGGCGGTGACCCGGCAGTCGCGCCAAATGGCCCGGCAGAGCTTGGCACAGGGCTTCTGGTAGACCCCCTCACCGTCCACTCCCAGACGAACTCGGTCCAACCGTTGATAGTGGATGGTGCAGAGGAAACGACTCAGACTGTCCGAGCATCCGGAGTCTATGAGATCTGAGCAAAAGGAAACCCCGGATTTAATTACAGTAATAATATTAATTACAGAGCTTTGTGTCAATAATAATAGTAAACGACTGACAGAAGTCAAGGTCGAGCGTTATTTCTTACCTTAATCACTGATAACAATTTTGGTGGCGAATTCTTTGAACAATTTTGGAAAACGCTAAGAGTTTTACATTAAAACAGGTTCTGCTCACGCCCCCATCCCACCTGAAAAATGCACTTACAAATAAAATTTCGGTCTAGGTATGCCTTACATGCTGTATGAATAAATGGGTTGACGTATTGCATGTTTTCTGTAGAGTGTCTAACTGGGACGTTTGTTTCTGCCTAGATGCGGCATAATATCCTTTGGTTTATTAAAACGTAAAAACAGGGGGAACAACATGATTGTTGGTTTGATCTGCGCGTCAAGACAGCTTGCAGGTTTGAATAAATCATGCAGAATTGTAAGGCTTTTGGGGGTAATTTCGTTTAGTCAGTACCCCTAGCCTTATCTTGCGTGTATTTTCTCCTGCATACTGTCACAATTTCCAATTCAAAGATGTACTTCTTTTGTTTCTATATAGTACTCTGCTGGAATTGGTTTTTTATTCATCCTGTTTTTAGATGCTTGTAACGTAACTCAGTCCAAGCATTTTAGCGGGAACAAGCTTTGAATAATGTCTTAATTAATTCCTTGTCTATGATCTGTAATATAGCCTTCACCTTGAGTTGCCGCAGAAAGGCCTTGGGTTAGGCAAACTGTTTTAGAAAAACTCTCCCACTCAGACCGACCCCGGCTATATACGGGCCTACCAGAGTCTAACCGACCAATACAGACCATGACTTCTATGTAAAGTTCCTTTACTTTTTACGAGTAATACCTTGAAGGTACTCGATGATAAATTCGAGTTCCACTAAGAACGGACTCGGGGGCGCACCGTCGTAGGCTAATATGCCCTCATCTCGGCACAGTGGAGGCACGGCAGAGGGCGGTAGATAGGGATGGCGGCCGATGGTTTGTCGGCAACAAAGACCTCGGAAACAAATGGCAAAATCCAAATTTGTGAGACACAGCGATGTTGCTCGGTGTGGGGCTTTATGTAGCGACTAACACTGAATAGTGGTACCGTACAACAGTTAGGACGAAGCTGACGCCATTGGCAGGGGCCACGGCAACGAGTGACAGCGTTACCATGGTCACCGCGACAGTAGCATATCCAGGTCTAATTGTGGGAGGAGTGCAACATCGATTTTTTTTTTTTACAATGACGGCCCCGTTGGCAATTTATTTTTCATCTGTAAAAGAGTCCTAGTTAGTTCAGAGCTCAGAGGCCCTCACAGCTTTTCTCTGAATGTCGGATTGTTGTGGACTGGTGGACACATTGGCAATGCATAACATTGTTATCAAACTTTTCCTTACACTGAGTGTGATCTTCACTACCATTACTCATTATTGCCATTTATTTATTTATATATTTATTTTATTCATCTTTTAGGGTCAGAGCTAGGGGTTGGCAACCCCCCCCCACCCCATGCGTGTCTGCAGATTCTGGTCAGGCGCTCATTTGTGAATTCGCTAGCAACGTTTGTTAGTCACAGCGCCCTCTTTTCACAAAAGTGAAGTATGACCAAAGTCATTTAAAGCCGCAGTCTTTGCACACCTTCAAAGTTGTACGGGTGCGACCTACCTCAGCGGTGATTTGTTCAGACTCAAAAAGCATTACAAATTCGAGCGAAAATACGTTGCTTGAAAAGGAAATTGGACTGAAGGCTTTCAGGAAACACCAGGGGGCCAAACTATCGTCACTGGCAGGACTTGCGATAGTTCATGGGCCTATATTTCAACCTTTAACCCCAAATCATGTCCAAGTAACTTAAACCCAGCCATAATAATTCGATTTGAAAACAGATACAATATCACATTTTTGTGATAGCGAGCGCTGTATGTAATTCCACCATACCAAAATACACTGATTCGACTGCAAGTTTTAATTATCCGTTCCAAACACCGTTCGGTCTATGGTCGGCATCAAATGATTGTTTCATGGCTGATCTTACCTGCCATGCAGGACGCAAGAAGAATCCCAATCACCAAGGGCTTCCTCATCACAGCAAACTTACATCGACCTCAACAGAGTGCAGACTGTCGTCGACGTCTCACCTGAGTGGTAGTTGCAACAGTTTCGCTCAGTGGACTGTGAAGTTCTCAGTACAAAGTGTCTATGGAGTAACCCTCGATACTCCGTGGGGACACTGAGCTCCACCTCTCAGCCTAGTTACGTGCCAATAACTTAGGTCGTGATATTGTAATAGTAAGCCTCTGTCCGATCGAGGCCGCGATCCACGGGGCAAGTAAAAACAACAGTGTAGGCATCCAATTGAATGAACCTTTTTTGCCCTTTTCTTTCAGCGAAATCGATAGTTTTGTTCACCTTGACTTTTCTCGCCACAGGGTTTCTTGTACAAATAAACACGCGCACTCCTTCACGGATCTCAGAAGAAACAGTCGTAGTGTAGCCATTATCAGTTTAAAATGAAATACTGTTTAAAGGCTACGAGAAAGTATTAGCATGTAAAATGATTTTATAGTCAAAAACGTTGGGAGTTGCCTTAAATAGTTCGTTACACCTACGACTTCCATTATTTTTCAGGTGAAATATGACTTTAAACCTGAACTTTTCAATAAAGATTCCGTGACGAAACTCCCTGACTGCACTTTCCACCCTTCTACATCTCCTGCCCTGGTATCTTCATTTACAACCAGACGCATTGCGGGGACCTGGTTAGATTTCGGTGAACACGCAGTAACTTCGCAAGTTCATCTCGGTGCTTCTTCCGTCGCCACCCCCCCCCCCCCCCCCAGTCATGGTGCAATCGAAAGGTCCGCAGCCGTGAACCCGGTACCACGCGGTGCTAGCCCGACGCTGGGGTCGCCAAAGGCCGTCGCGCTAAATCATGCAGAGGTCGAGTTCAGGCAGCGTGTTCTTGACACGGGTTTCTTGTTCTCGCTCTACCCAAGAACGCTGTTCCCGGAACACGTCCTCGTCAGGGTTTTTCAGGACCACACGCAAAACAAGTGGGATATTGATTTTTAAACAGCCGCTAAATAATAGCGAGATGGCTTGCGAAGCCGAAGACAGGGGGAAGTTTTGCAAAATAAATACTGATAATTTTCCTTTACAGAAAAATTAATGTTCCCTTTTAATTAAATAAATAGGAATTCAGCCCAGTTATCAAAACATCAACCCCCGGAGAATGCATGGACGCCACCACTATAACTATACCAGCGATAAGCGGCTGTAGGTCCCGGCGTTCGAGCGGCCCACCCACGAACAACAAATCGAGCTGTTGGTGAACATACGAGAGCAAGCCACACGAACTCAAGCCAAAATGCTTGCTAAATCCCCGACCTACCATGATGGCTCGAGCTATGTTTCACTGCCAGACTGCCAAGCGTGTGGCGTGTGCAGAGCCCGACTAGACTATACCAAAAGGGCGGGTTCTCATGCAAATACGTCCCTCCTACACAAACGCACGGCAAAACCAAGTACATGTATCTGTTGGAACCATGAGCTCTGAGCTGGACCAAGAGAGGGCGCAATTTTCTTAGCAACGGAAGCTCCATTGGTAGTAGCTGGGTCCAGTCCACTAATTCAAGCCCCATTGAAAACAGTGGAAAAATCAGCACCGTTCAGGGCCCAATAGCATGCGAGTGTACG